CATATGTACTTTGTCTCCCCCTTCAAGATAATGTTTTCCGGTTGATACTTGTGCCATTGCATTTGTTGGATTTGCACAAATATTTGTGTTGTGCAATTGATCTTTTATCAGAGATAGAAGCTCAAAATCCCCTCGACCTTCAGCATAAGAATTTGAATTGTTCCCGTACCAATACTGGTAACCGATATCAGCATCAATCCATTTTGTCCAAGAATCTCCAGAACATCCTAAGAATAAACAGGAATTCTATTGTACAAAATTGATTTTATAAGGAGCGGTATTTCTATAATGTAGGTAATCATTGAGTAATGCTTGATTCAAAACTAAGTTTAATATTTAATTTGAAGAAAAATATATCATGCGAAATATTTCAATATTTTAGGATTGATTGACAACACACAAATGCTTCACAGAAGACACAAGCTTTTTGCGTAAAAAAATAATTTCCACAAACTATATTAAATCTTTGTTATAGAAGACATGGCAACGAATAATAGAGGATTTTTATAAACTCCTCATTGAGCTAGTTACAGAAATATTACCTGAGCACCAAGTCCCATCATCACCTTCCACATAATAATCAGCATCACAGGCGCAGTTATAACTTCCATATGTGTTGGTACAATCTGCTCTGGGATGACAATTATGTGTTCCCGTCTGGCATTCATCAATATCAGTACAATTTTCTCCTTCAAAACCTTCTTTACAGCCACATGAATATCCTCCGTTTGTATTTGAACAATTTGAGCAAGGAAGAATCTCATTCGAGCATTCATTAATATCAGTACAATTGAAGCCATTGCCTGTAAATCCTTCCTTACATTGACAGGTATATGTTCCATTTGCAGAATCTATACAAGTTGCGTTCTCGTCACAATCGTGTTGTCCTGATGTGCATTGATCAACTTTGAAGCAATAGGTATTTATTTCTCTGAGAGTTTGATTGCATTGACAGCGATTGTTTACAAATGAACAGTTGTACAAAAGACGAGGACAAGTAACTTTGTCACAATTGTAGATGGTATAGATAAAAGATTGATCCCTACCGTCGTACTCTACCTGTCAATCCTTCATTACAAGTACATCCTACGCCACCTGCATAATTCCAGCAATCATCACAATTTTCTAATACTTCACATTCATTGATATCATTGCAATTGGTTCCGTTTCCAGTATAACCCGGCTTACATTTGCATTCGTAACTTCCAATGGTGTTGATACATTGAGCCTTGCTGTGACATTTGTTATCAGCCATGCATTCATCTACGTCAGTACAATTGTATCCGTCACCAGTAAATCCGTCATTGCATGAACATGTATATCCATCATCAGTGTTATTGCAAACTGAAATAATACTGCAGTTATGTGTTCCATTTAAACATTTGTTTTCTGCTGAACAAAATTCAAAGAAACTTTATTTTCATATTAAAGATGAATAAAATTATAACCTGCTCAAAAGATGTTTGAAAGAATGCGTGATGAGTAAAAACTCTCACAAGAAACACGCCGATAAAAAGACGATAAACTGCGGAAATATTAAAAATAATTTTGAGCTAAAAACATTTGTAAAATGATACACGTTGATCAGTATAAACATGTGATAACAAGATGAACATATTTTAGACCGAACCGTATATTTGGATATTATCAAAGATATATATGTTACTTTATGTTATAGTTATGTTAGGTTATGTTTATGGTAATTATGTTATGTTATCTTATCAATATGTTACTAAAGTGAATACATGATTAACCCTGTGTTAGGTATTCCTTAATAACGTTTCCAATGTGAAACTTCGGATTTTATTAGCAAAGGCGGAATGCAAGACACAGGAGAATGCGAAATAAAATCAACCGTGTACTTGTAAAACAAGTCTATTATGTCATAAAATTTTCACACGTTTATATATATATAAAAGAGAGTAATGCGAAAATATATGGACACGAAAGCCAAAACGAAGTAGTATCAAATTTAGGCTAGAGTTTTGTATGGTAACAGTTGAAACATACAAAATATACACCGAGTATATTTCACAGAACTCTTTTATCACTGCCATTTTCGTCTTCAACTTTTTGTGTTGAGTAAAATTGAATCGCAAAAAAAGCAACTGGGAATACGTAGTCCTTTTCCTAATCCCGATGTGGGGATATGTTTGTTGAAATCACGGAATTTCATTGTTGTATCTATAACAAGACGGTGGCTGTATGGGAATGACGTCCTATGATCGGTAAACGAAGAATGAATTGTCTTGTGCAGACTGCAGTAAGGACCTAGCCGATGAGCTCAAGTCGAGTAACTTCTCATCTGAAGAGACGTTTTGTATCCTTATTTTAGTCAAACTCTCCTCTATTTTCAAGCATTGGCCATGTGACAGCAGTGACAAACCGCAGAACTGACTTAGCGCCGCGCGATACAGTTTTTTTCATTATCTAAGCCCGACGTCCCAACTTAGACGGAATTGCAAAGTTAGACGGGAGTATTCGTACATGCAGCCCTTGTATTGCAGTTGTCCGATTTTAATGTGCATTCATCATCGTCTGAATAAAGTGTTGAAATGAAAAAAAAAGATGCAGCGATGTATCGATATAGGAAATATCGGCTATTTTGTCAATACAATATGGTAAATTCATACAAAACATGTCTGGTATACCGTTTTCAGCTTTTTATCACACTCATTGTACACAATTATCGATTCTCCCCTTTTTATCAACAACACTGAAATTTACCCGTGCACGTAAATCCGTTTCCAGTGAAGCCAGAATTGCATTCACAGGCGAATGAGCCATCGTTGTTGGTACAAGCAGCATTCGTGTCGCACGGGCTGGTGTCGCACTCGTTCTGATCTGCATATAAAAAATACAAATCAACACATTTGTTATGTATAGATAGATATGAAAAAACGATACTTGATGGTATGTCTATTTTTTAAATTTTTGTTTAAATAAAAATGTTCAATGGGATATTACGTAATATCTGTCGGTTTTGGTTTATTCGTTAATATCAATATTTTCTCTCTAATTTAAATGTATATCTACAAAATTTTGTAACTAGAAAAAGTTCGTCTTTTCCATGGTGGCATATGAGAGTAGTGATCAAAATTCAAACTCCGCGCCCCCAAAAATAAACCAAAAAGAAGTTCGCAAAGCTGGTGACCGTACATTTGAACCCATGTTCATTTGAACCCATGCGTATATCCACGGGTTCAATCTATATGCGGGTGCTAAAACGCATGGGTTAGGGTTAGTATGGGTTTAACTATCCGTGAAACAAAAAAAATTCCATAGGAGCAATAGCATACAGGTGCAATTGTCATGGGTTCAAATGTACGTGGGTTCAAATGTAATGGAACCCGCAAAGCTATATGCTAAATCGGAAGTATCCACTTATATGCAGTTGAGCTCATGTAACATTATTTCATGTCTAGAACATTAATTAAAGTGAACACCTTTTGATGTCTTATCTTTGAATTTAATTCAACAATATATCATTTTCTCGATACTTTGACTAATTCATAATCAAAGTCTGGTTAACAGTAAAGCATACCGGTACAATCGATTCCATTTCCAGTATACCCAGTCTTGCATGTGCAAGTGAAACTCCCGAAAGTGTTTCCACATGTTGCATTCGAATGGCAATTGTCCGTCTTGAGTGTACACTCGTCATTGTCTCAAAATAAAACAGAAAAGCATACATACAACTATACAAAAATGATTGTCGCATAAGTGGGACTAGCGAATTTGGAATTTAACAGGATGGATATTTCTATAACGCTATGTCGCTGACTCGATGACGTCACAGTCATTCGCGACTCTTATCGATTGCTATGAATCTCCTATGTGTATAATTACATTTTTATTCCCGTTATACACTTTTGACAGTTTTTTTTTTCAATTTTTGTATTGAATCTTGTATGATAGATATAAAACATTTGAATCTGAATCTGCTTGTACGAATTGTCTCATTTCGGATGAAATGAAATTTACGTCGAAAGTGTATTTGTGTATTGTTCTCTCGTTTTTTGTTTCACTGCAATTATACAAAGCAGCATACTGTAACTGTACATTTCTAATTTCACCTGCGCAGTTGAATCCGTCTCCCGTAAACCCGGTTTCGCAAGCACAAGTAAAACTTCCATCATTGTTTGTGCATTTTGCATCGTTGTGACAATTGTCTGTGTCAATTACACATTCATTGATATCTTCAAAGGTAATAAATAAAAATTATATGACATACAATATAAGTTCACATCAATGAGTGAAATTTGCAACCTGACATTGACCCTTGACCTGAACCTTGTATTGACAGATACTCTTTCAATGGTGCTAAGGTGAAACACATGAATACGAGCACAATTGTATATCAACAATTAGGCATAGATTCATTTGCCATGTATATAAATTTTCATTGCACTGCAAAACTGCCAAATAGAGGGAAATAAAACATTTCATAAATCACTTCACCTGTACAAATTGTTCCAGTCCCTGTGTATCCTGTCTTGCACGTGCATGTAAAACTCCCGTTGTTGTTAGCACAATCTGCTTTATCGTGACAGATGTGTGTATTGCTTGTACATTCGTTGATATCTGACAACAAAAATTGTTGAAAAGTTAGAAAAAATCAATTCCAACGAATTACTTTACCCAAAAATATGACTTTACCGTTACAAGTTTTTCCGTCTCCTGTGTAACCTGTCTTGCAAGCACATACGTAACTTCCGATGGTATCGGTACAATCCGCTTGAGCGCTGCAGGCATTCGTAGTTGGTGAATTACATTCTTTGATATCTGATTATAAGAAAGATTAAAAATTAATACTAGGACGTAAAAATACTTAGAATATATCTTTTCATGAACCCATAAAAAAATATAATATTTCAATTTACGGACTATAAAAAAGCCAAATTTTAGAAAAGAAAAGTTTTGTCACAGTATTTCGTTCGGGTTTTTGCTAAATTAGATATGTCAAAGACAAGTTAGAAACCTGATATTAATAAGCATACCTGTACACGGTCCACCAATACCACCCTCGTACCCAGAATTACACGAACAGTTGTATCCACAAACTTTATTGACGCAAGTGCCGGTATCACCACAAGCGTGAGTTCCCATAGCACACTCGTCAATATCTGAAACAACATAAAATTTGAAAATGAATTTAGCAACAACGTTTTAGTTTTCAAGAATTAGCATAGTACAAATAACCAACATTTTAAACAAGCTAACCGGAATAATTTAAGATGCTGAGCCTTGCTATATTTTATATCAAATGTTATAAACAACACAAATTCAACGTACCAACGCAGGTGGTTCCATTTCCAGTATAAAATGTTTTGCATGCACAAGTGAAACTTCCCACTGTATCTGCACAATCTGCGTTCGTGTCACAATTATCCGTATTTCTGCTGCATTCGTTGATATCTTAAAAATTAATTAAAACGCTTTTGACCACAAACAAAAATATTTCTCATCTGGGTATGGGCAGTGGTGAGATTCAATTTTTTTGTCAGTCGGTTCCTTCACAAAAGTCATATTTTTCAGCCGGTTCTGTTACAAACAGAACATTGACAGTAAGCAGTAATGCTAACCGGTTCGCTGATCTCATAAAATTCCGTGAGACGGTTCTATAGAACCGGTGCGAACCGGCTGAATCCCACCACTGGGTATGGGTTACTTCAACAATCAATGCAGGTGAGAAGCTTTTGGACGCAAAGCGTATACATATGGATCGTTTTTCTATGTTGCTGTTTCTTTTGGGGAGATTGTGTTATCAGGAAAAATATCGCAACCGATAAACCAACTGATTTCAACTTTTCCTTTTTTTAAAAATTTTCCGAATTTTCAATTTTTCTCTGAGTTTATAAAACCTGCCATTTCATCCAATAAAAGTTCCCGTTAATCTTATTTTCTTCTGTCGCGCACTTTATTCTGTGACGCTTGTCTGCCTTCGACACGCATGTGCGCCGATATTTTCTGCAAACTCGCCACTCAGCTTTGGTTCTACCGTTATCAATGCGCGACCTATATGTACATATATTTGAGCATTTCCTTCATGCCAAAAATTAAAGCTCAAACCATATTGCTATTAACTAACAGAAATGTTATAAAATGAAATGTATTAATGTAATTATTACTTTGATTACTTACTAGAGCAAGGACCATATGTTCCATTTTCGTACCCGATGTTGCAGGTACAGTCGTATCCGCCTGGCTTGTTTGCGCATGTTCCGGTTAGAGCACACAGATGGGTATTGACCCCATCAGGACACTCGTTAATATCTGTATTCAAGATAACATAATTTTCAATTTATTTTGAATAATCGGTTTTCAAAGATTTCGAGGTATCATGTATGGTATGCATACACCTATGGAAAGATCAATAATAATAATTGAATACATATTAATAATTAAACGCATGTGGATGCCTGTATTTTAATACCCTAAGAGCCCAGTATAAAATAGAAGGAAACTTGTAAATACATGCTTAGAGACCAGGCATTTTCCAAACAACGGTGATTGGACCCATATTGCGAAATTGATGATTTTATGAACCATCTACATGAGTGATAAAACATTGATAAAAGCAAGTAAAGACTAAATTGTACCCATCACGGTAACTAGTACCTTCGCAATGTGTTCCGTTGCCGGTGAAACCAGTTTTGCATGTGCAAGTAAAACCGCCATCAAGTTTTGCGCAGTTTGCGTTCGCATCACAGTTGTGTTCAGGTGATGTTGTATCACATTCGTTCACATCTGAAAAAAGAGAATAAAATGTGATAATTAAATCGAGAAATTATATTTTAAAAAACCGTATCGATCCCCAATAAGCCGAATATTTATTAAGTTTACCTTCTACACTAAAACTCGAAAAATGAATAATATAACTTACCAGTTTCACATCTCGAACCAGTCCAGGCTGGGGTGCAAGCACAAGACGCCGTATTGAAACCTGTTCTTGAGCAAGTTCCTCCATTCATGCAATAAATATCAGCACCAGTATACAAACACTTATTAATGTCTGGAAAGAAAACAATGTCATTGGTTTTGACTAACTAAACAATGTAACAAAAATACACTGATTCAAATTGGGTACTCCCGTAGTGTGTGTACCAGGTTAGGGTGAGGCCATAATTTTATTCCGATTTTCCTTATTTCAGTTCTATTACGAGTTCGGCGACTGTCTGTGTTAGCAAAGTGAATATACCCCTTGCCCATAAGTTTCGGTCCGTTTACACAACTTGATTCAAATAGGCGAACAAAATTAGTTACCTCCACATTGGTACACACACTTCTGGAGCGCCTAAAATTGATTCCGCACATTCCGTTGACTTATGTTAGTGCCTATATGTAAATATAGCCAATGGAACAATTTTTCTCCTATCCTTAACTTCAATGCTCGACAATGAGTTTGTTCCCAGCCAGTCTTGCGCTCTTTATTGTTCACTGATGAAAACTCGAATTTTAATTTTTGCAAGCAAAAAACATTGAGTGACTGCAATGCAGCCATTCACGTTTGCTACATGATTAAAATCGACTTCATCACACATTGAAGTTCCGATTGAAATCTGAAAATGTTTTTATTTTTCGCGAATATTAAAACTTCAAACCGGCATATGAACTGTCATACCTGCTTCATAATCAATGAGAAAACCTCGTCCCCCAATTGTGTCATCAACGGTGTAAAAGTCCATAATAGCCGTCTCATAGTTTTGCAAGTCATACGTGTTTCTTCCGGCTAAATTCAACACATCGACGATAGGCCCGTCTTCAACGTCTTGAACATATATCAAACCATCAGTGGTAGAATTGGATGTAAATGTAACATTTCTAAAAAAATGTTTAAATAATATGAAAATGTTATTCATACTGATTAACAAATGGAATCTGTGAGCAATTAATGTGGATATGTATAATTTATTTTTTATTTTTCATTTGTGTTTCTATACCAATTAGTATGCAACGATTTGCATTGCGCTATTACTAGGAAATATGAGAAATTGAAAAATACAGAAATAGTTTTCATCAATGAAAGAAAATACATCTTAGTATTAAGATTAGGTTGTTGTCATCAAAACTTCAAAAAATAGTGCAAACGTTCTAATTAACCTATTTTATTTTATTTATGAGCATAATAATTTTGTGACACCAACATGTAAAAACTTTGAATAAAATATATTATGGCTTTCAATAAACAGGAGTGCTTTATTTTATTGATATATGTTCGGAACTCACCTGATAGCCAGGGTATTCAATCCATCTTTTTCCGTACCTGAACCAATGTAAAGTCTGTCACTGCTCGCCAGTTGAAAGTCAAGAATCGTAAGTCGATATCCTGCGTTGGTGAAAAAAGAAAAAGTTAAAATAGTAAATTTTAACAAATTGGCAGGTTGTCTGTAGGCAGGTTCATTCAAATTTAATTTGAAATAACAAAATTTCTGCTACCGACTCCGATATATCGGGGCATTTCTATAGACCTTCTTATAAATAACCTCTTGACTTACCATATATATATACACTGTCGAATGTGATATCGACTAGTTTGAATCCAGAAGTCAACTCTTTCGGGTAATTTATGCTTGTACCGTCATAGCAAGGTGATTGCACTCTTCCAATCTGTACAGTTCTAGTCACAAGTTCTTGGTCCCGATTGCAGGAGAAATTTGCTAAATATAAGAGCAATATGAAAAAACTTCTAAGCAATTGTTTTTACAAAAAATAAAAGTTAATTCTTTAAGTTACGAAGTTGTAGCAAATAAAGTTTAATATATATATATAAAGGAGAGTAATGCGAAAATATATGGACACGAAAGCCAAAACGAAGTAGTATCAAATTTAGGCTAGAGCTATGTATGGTAGCAGTTGAAACATACAAAAGATACACCGAGTATATTTCATAGAACTCTTTTATCACTGCCATTTTCGTCTTCAACTTTTTTGTGTTGAGTAAAATAGAATCGCGAAAAAAGCAACTGGGAATACGTAGTCCTTTTCCTAATCCCGATGTGGGGATATGTTTGTTGAAATCACGGAATTTCATTGTTGTATCTATAACAAGACGGTGGCTGTATGGGAATGACGTCCTATGATCGGTAAACGAAGAATGAATTGTCTTGAGCAGACTGCAGTAAGGACCTAGCCGATGAGCTCGAGTCGAGTAACTTCTCATCTGAAGAAACGTTTTGTATCCTTTTTTCAGTCAAACTCTCCTCTATTTTCAAGCATTGGCCATGTGACAGCAGTGACAAACCGCAGAACTGACTTAGCACCGCGCGATACAGTTTTTTTATTATCTGAACCCGACGTCCCAACTTAGACGGAATTGCGAAGTCAGACGGGAGTATTCGTGCATGCAGCCCTTGTATTGCAGTTGTCCGTTTTTAATGTGCATTCATCATCGTCTGAATAAAGTGTTGAAATGAAAAAAAAAGATGCAGCGATGTATCGATATAGGAAATATCGGCTATTTTGTCAATACAATATGGTAAATTCATACAAAACATGTCTGGTATACCGTTTTCAGCTTTTCATCACACTCATTGTACACAATTTTCGATTCTCCCCTTTTTATCAACTACACTGAAATTTACCCGTGCACGTAAATCCGTTTCCAGTGAAGCCGGAATTGCATTCACAAGCGAATGAGCCATCGTTGTTGGTACAAGCAGCATTCGTGTCGCACGGGCTGGTGTCGCACTCGTTCTGATCTGCATATAAAAAATAAAAATCAACACATTTGTTATGTATAGATAGATACGAAAAAACGATACTTGATGGTATGTCTATTTTTTAAATTTTTGTTTAAATAAAAATGTTCAATGGGATATTACGTAATATCTGTCGGTTTTGGTTTATTCGTCATTATCAATATTTTCTCTCTAGTTATCAATATATATCTACAAATTTTTGTTGCTAGAAAAAGTTCGTCTTTTCCATAGTAGCGTATGAGAGTAGTGATCAATATTCAAACCCCGTGCCCAAAAAAAACAAAACAAAAAGAAGTTCGCAAAGCTATATGCTAAATCGGAAGTATCCTTTTATATGCAGTTGAGCTCATGTAACATTGTTTCATGTCTAGAACATTAATTAAAGTGAACACCTTTTGATGTCTTATCTTTGAATTTAATCCAACAATATCTTATTTTCTCAATACTTTGACTAATTCATAATCAAAGTCTGGTTAACAGTAAAGCATACCGGTACATTCGATTCCATTTCCAGTATACCCAGTCTTGCATGTGCAAGTGAAGCTACCGAAAGTGTTTCCACATGTTGCATTCGAATGGCAATTGTCCGTCTTGAGTGTACACTCGTCATTGTCTCAAAATAAAACAGAAAAGCATACACGTAACTATACAAAAACGATTGTCGCATAAGTGGGACTAGCGAATTTGGAATTTAACAGGATGGATATTTCTATAACGCTATGTCGCTGACTCGATGACGTCACAGTCATTCGCGACTCTTATCGATTGCTATGAATCTCCTGTGTGTATAATTACATTTTTATTCCCGTTATACACTTTTGACATTTTTTTTTTTCAATTTTTGTATTGAATCTTGTATGATAGAAATAAAACATTTGAATCTGAATCTGCTTGTACGAATTGTCTCATTTCGGATGAAATGAAATTTACGTCGAAAGTGTATTTGTGTATTGTTCTCTCGTTTTTTGTTTCACTGCAATTATACAAAGCAGCATACTGTAACTGTACATTTCTAATTTCACCTGCGCAGTTGAATCCGTCTCCCGTAAACCCGGTTTCGCAAGCACAAGTAAAACTTCCATCATTGTTTGTGCATTTTGCATCGTTGTGACAATTGTCTGTGTCAATTACACATTCATTGATATCTTCAAAGGTAATAAATAAAAATTATATGACATACAATATAAGTTCACATCAATGAGTGAAATTTGCAACCTGACATTGACCCTTGACCTGAACCTTGTATTGACAGATACTCTTTCAATGGTGCTAGAGTGAAACACATGAATATAAGCCCAATTGTATATCAACAATTAGGAATAGATTTTTATTTGCCATGTATATAAATTTTCATTTCACTGCAAAACTGCCAAATAGAGGGAAATAAAACATTTCATAAATCACTTCACCTGTACAAATTGTTCCAGTCCCTGTGTATCCTGTCTTGCACGTGCATGTAAAACTCACGTTGTTGTTAGCACAATCTGCTTTATCGTGACAGATGTGTGTATTGCTTGTACATTCGTTGATATCTGACAACAAAAATTGTTGAAAAGTTAGAAAAAATCAATTCCAACGAATTACTTTACCCAAAAATATGACTTTACCGTTACAAGTTTTTCCGTCTCCTGTGTAACCTGTCTTGCAAGCACATACGTAACTTCCGATGGTATCGGTACAATCCGCTTGAGCGCTGCAGGCATTCGTAGTTGGTGAATTACATTCTTTGATATCTGATTATAAGAAAGATTAAAACTAAATACTATGACGTCAAAATACTTAGAATATATCTTTTCATGAACCCATAAAAAAATATAATATTGCAATTTACGGACTATAAAAAAGCCAAATTTTAGAAAAGAAAAGTTTTGTCACAGTATTTCGTTCGGGTTTTTGCTAAATTAGATATGTCAAAGACAAGTTAGAAACCTGATATTAATAAGCATACCTGTACACGGTCCACCAATACCACCCTCGTACCCAGAATTACACGAACAGTTGTATCCACCAACTTTATTGACGCAAGTGCCGGTATCACCACAAGCGTGAGTTCCCATAGCACACTCGTCAATATCTGAAACAACATAAAATTTGAAAATGAATTTAGCAACAACGTTTTAGTTTTCAAGAATTAGCATAGTACAAATAACCAACATTTTAAACAAGCTAACCGGAATAATTTAAGATGCTGAGCCTTGCTATATTTTATATCAAATGTTATAAACAACACAAATTCAACGTACCAACGCAGGTGGTTCCATTTCCAGTATAAAATGTTTTGCATGCACAAGTGAAACTTCCCACTGTATCTGCACAATCTGCGTTCGTGTCACAATTATCCGTATTTCTGCGGCATTCGTTGATATCTTAAAAATTAATTAGAACGCTTTTGACCACAAACAAAAATATTTCTCATCTGGGTATGGGCAGTGGTGAGATTCAATTTTTTTGTCAGTAGGTTCCTTCACAAAAGTCATATTTTTCAGCCGGTTCTGTTACAAACAGAACATTGACAGTAAGCAGTAATGCTAACCGGTTCGCTGATCTCATAAAATTCCGTGAGACGGTTCTATAGAACCGGTGCGAACCGGCTGAATCCCACCACTGGGTATGGGTTATTTCAACAATCAATGCAGGTGAGAAGCTTTTGGACGCGAAGCGTATACATATGGATCGTTTTTCTATGTTGCTGTTTCTTTTGGGGAGATTGTGTTATCATGAAAAATATCGCAACCGATAAACCAACTGATTTCAACTTTTCCTTTTTTTTTAAATTTTCCGAATTTTCAATTTTTCTCTGAGTTTATAAAACCTGCCATTTCATCCAATAAAAGTTCCCGTTAATCTTATTTTCTTCTGTCGCGCACTTTATTCTGTGACGCTTGTCTGCCTTCGACACGCATGTGCGCCGATATTTTCTGCAAACTCGCCACTCAGCTTTGGTTCTACCGTTATCAATGCGCGACCTATATGTACATATATTTGAGCATTTCCTTCATGCCCAAAATTAAAGCTCAAACCATATTGCTATTAACTAACAGAAATGTTATAAAATGAAATGTATTAATGTAATTATTACTTTGACTACTTACTAGAGCAAGGACCATATGCTCCATTTTCGTACCCGATGTTGCAGGTACAGTCGTATCCGCCTGGCTTGTTTGCGCATGTTCCGGTTAGAGCACACAGATGGGTATTGACCCCATCAGGACACTCGTTAATATCTGTATTCAAGATAACATAATTTTCAATTTATTTTGAATAATCGGTTTTCAAAGATTTCGAGGTATCATGTATGGTATGCATACACCTATGGAAAGATCAATAATAATAATTGAATACATATTAATAATTAAACGCATGTGGATGCCTGTATTTTAATACCCTAAGAGCCCAGTATAAAATAGAAGGAAACTTGTAAATACATGCTTAGAGACCAGGCATTTTCCAAACAACGGTGATTGGACCCATATTGCGAAATTGATGATTTTATGAACCATCTACATGAGTGATAAAACATTGATAAAAGCAAGTAAAGACTAAATTGTACCCATCACGGTAACTAGTACCTTCGCAATGTGTTCCGTTGCCGGTGAAACCAGTTTTGCATGTGCAAGTAAAACCGCCATCAAGTTTTGCGCAGTTTGCGTTCGCATCACAGTTGTGTTCAGGTGATGTTGTATCACATTCGTTCACATCTGAAAAAAGAGAATAAAATGTGATAATTAAATCGAGAAATTATATTTTAAAAAACCGTATCGATCCCCAATAAGCCAAATATTTATTAAGTTTACCTTCTACACTAAAACTCGAAAAATGAATAATATATCTTACCAGTTTCACATCTCGAACCAGTCCAGGCTGGTGTGCAAGCACAAGACGCTGTATTGAAACCTGTTCTTGAGCAAGTTCCTCCATTCATGCAATAAATATCAGCACCAGTATACAAACACTTATTAATGTCTGGAAAGAAAACAATGTCATTGGTTTTGACTAACTAAACAATGTAACAAAAATACACTGATTCAAATTGGGTACTCCCGTAGTGTGTGTACCAGGTTAGGGTGAGGCCATAATTTTATTCCGATTTTCCTTATTTCAGTTCTATTACGAGTTCGGCGACTGTCTGTGTTAGCAAAGTGAATATACCCCTTGCCCATAAGTTTCGGTCCGTTTACACAACTTGATTCAAATAGGCGAACAAAATTAGTTACCTCCACATTGGTACACACACTTCTGGAGCGCGTAAAATTGATTCCGCACATTCCGTTGACTTATGTTAGTGCCTATATGTAAATATAGCCAATGGAACAATTTTTCTCCTATCCTTAACTTCAATGCTCGACAATGAGTGTGTTCCCAGCCAGTCTTGCGCTCTTTATTGTTCACTGATGAAAACTCAAATTTTAATTTTTGCAAGCAAAAAACATTGAGTGACTGCAATGCAGCCATTCACGTTTGCTACATGATTAAAATCGACTTCATCACACATTGAAGTTCCGATTGAAATCTGAAAATGTTTTTATTTTTCGCGAATATTAAAACTTCAAACCGGCATATGAACTGTCATACCTGCTTCATAATCAATGAGAAAACCTCGTCCCCCAATTGTGTCATCAACGGTGTAAAAGTCCATAATAGCCGTCTCATAGTTTTGCAAGTCATACGTGTTTCTTCCGGCTAAATTCAACACATCGACGATAGGCCCGTCTTCAACGTCTTGAACATATATCAAACCATCAGTGGTAGAATTGGATGTAAATGTAACATTTCTAAAAAAATGTTTAAATAATATGAAAATGTTATTCATACTGATTAACAAATGGAATCTGTGAGCAATTAATGTGGATATGTATAATTTATTTTTTATTTTTCATTTGTGTTTCTATACCAATTAGTATGCAACGATTTGCATTGCGCTATTACTAGGAAATATGAGAAATTGAAAAATACAGAAATAGTTTTCATCAATGAAAGAAAATACATCTTAGTATTAAGATTAGGTTGTTGTCATCAAAACTTCAAAAAATAGTGCAAACGTTCTAATTAACCTATTTTATTTTATTTATGAGCATAATAATTTTGTGACACCAACATGTAAAAACTTTGAATAAAATATATTATGGCTTTCAATAAACAGGAGTGCTTTATTTTATTGATATATGTTCGGAACTCACCTGATAGCCAGGGTATTCAATCCATCTTTTTCCGTACCTGAACCAATGTAAAGTCTGTCACTGCTCGCCAGTTGAAAGTCAAGAATCGTAAGTCGATATCCTGCGTTGGTGAAAAAAGAAAAAGTTAAAATAGTAAATTTTAACAAATTGGCAGGTTGTCTGCAGGCAGGTTCATTCAAATTTAATTTGAAATAACAAAATTTCTGCTACCGACTGCGATATATCGGGGCATTTCTATAGACTTTCTTATATATAATCTCTTGACTTACCATATATATATACACTGTCGAATGTGATATCGACTAGTTTGAATCCAGAAGTCAACTCTTTCGGGTAATTTATGCTTGTACCGTCATAGCAAGGTGATTGCACTCTTCCAATCTGTACAGTTCTAGTCACAAGTTCTTGGTCCCGATTGCAGGAGAAATTTGCTAAATATAAGAGCAATATGAAAACGCTTCTAAGCAATTGTTTTTATGAAACTAAAAGTTAATTCTGTAAGTTGCGAAGTTGTAACAAATAAAGTTTAATATATATATATATTCAAGACCAAGTTTGTATATGCTTCTACGTTTCGCCCCTGACGAATAGGCCCAGCTGGTTAGTAGTTACAGCACTGTACCTAATATTGTTATGAGAAATCTGTAACGGGTATAGATGCCAGCAACACATGATGTGTGCTAAATAGAATAAAGATTACCATTTCATAGTGAATGACCTCTACTGAAACAGAATGAGTTTATATGTATCCAATATGCAATATCGCACTGCGTAAAGTTTCCGGCTTTTTACAATCAGAGCGCGAAGGTAAAAAAAAACTATCCATTAGAAGTAGGAAATAACAAATTCTCGCGTCATCAAAATTTGGCTCGAAATGAGCACAGGAGTATATCTAACAATATTTGAAAGTATTGCAGAATGTCAAGAAGATTCAAATTCATATCTTTACATACAAAGGTTGAATTGCTCAAAACGGTGTCAAATCCAATGGCCCAATTTTTCTTTATATTTCTCTTCAAAACTAATTTAATTTTTTGTCTTACCTATGTAGGCATATCCCTCATATGCATCGATCTTCAACGTTGCACCCACTTGACAAATAACCAAAAATAAAACAACAAGAAATATCATCCTCAACTTCTCAAAATTTTGCTCTTATAGATATTGCTGTTATACTACTGACGGATTTTCAAATATAATTGCATGATATGTCGTCCTCCTTTCATAAGTGAATACCACGCTAAAGTTAGATTTTTAGTAAAAATAGCAATCGGTTTCCTTTCCTGCCATAATGTGTGTGGGTGATAATGTATACAGTTATTCACTAATGATTAAAATATCAATCGTGTTATTATTTCAGTGACTTAAAGATTAAATTTTATTCTGATGAGACAACCTCACACCCCAACCAAGAATTAAAGTCAGGTAAATACTGCCAACAATACACTAACAGCTATTATTGTTGAGTGATTGGACTGATTCTTTTTCGACATTATACAAACCAACTTCATTAGACCTCGAATAATGTTTTAGCATTGTAAGTTCACACCAAAAAATAAGCATGTATACCTGGCCATTAGACCGTAGTTCTAAAAAATTTACTATTTCTGGGGATCGTAAAGTTCAAAAAAAAAAAGGCAGTAAGGTTAAGGTCAAATGTGTTCACTTTAATTTGAAACAACGTAATTGGTAAGATTTTCATAATAAGCGGGTGAAGTTTATGATACATATTTACCACAAGCGAAAAGTTTACCAATAAGAATGAAACTAATTTTGCTCGACTATTTTACACCAAGTTGCGTGAAGGGACTGAAATCTATGGACAGGGTCTATGGGCATTCACTTGGCTAACACAGACAGTCCCCGAACTCGAAATAGAACTAAAATAAGGTAAATCAGACTAAAATGATGGCCTAGCCCTAATCTGGTACACACACTACGGGAGTACCCAAAAATCTATAATTATTGTAATTGAAGAAACTGTTAAAAAAAAAATAACATTTGGAGAGTCATGGCCATATTCTCCGCACATGCACTCACTGGGAAACGTAACCTACGGACCGCACGCTCTTCAAATATCAGACGTCGTTTTTTGTAATTCGTTTTCTAAGTCTACCTAATAAATAAAGTGTTTTTGTTAATTTTCAAGCAGAATTCTGCTTTAAGGTGAAATTTACTAACCTCCATCTAGAAATAATGAAAATAAATTGAAAATAGACACCAGCGCAAATTTATTTATTAACCAGAACCATTGTGTTTGGTACTCGACTTTTCTTGAGCAACAGAAATCTGACCAATTCTGCTTGATTTCATAGTGTCGTCAGAAAAGCATTTTTTGTTTAATTTTTTTGTCAAGTAATGTAGTTTATGTTATCGCTGTTGGAACAGCACCACACTGTTGTACACCACAATACTACCTAATGTGTTAGATTCAGTAAACATAAAATCATATATATACAATATGAAAATTTATTATCAGCTACAGAATAACGCTTGATGAAAACAAAAACAAACCAGTAAAGGTTAAAAACTTCATAAAAGCTAATAAGAACCTCGATATTTAAAATCTATCTGGAGGGTTGGATCATGTATACAGCACATAAAAGGGAACAAAATCAAATTGGAGCAATATTTCAATTATAAGTTCATGGAAGGCAACTTTCAGAATATTAAAGTTAAAAGTTTTCCATCATTCGAGAAGGCGATACTTTATAGTTATAGATTGTAGAAGCAAACAAACTTTTGTTTTTATGTATATTGAAAAAAATAACAAATGCATATTTGGATTAAATTAAAATTCAGCAGCAGTATGGTCGTCTGTTGGGGTAAATGTGTCAACCCTCAGATGCAAGCATGTATCCTGCGCTCTCGATGGGGCTAGCATCTCATTAAAGTGCAAAGTTCTAAATAATTTGCCATCAAACTAGATTAAAATCCAGCAGTTGTATGCAACATAATAATTTCTTATTAAGATGTGTTGGAAGTCATCCTCAAAAACTACGATTTACATTTTAAGATTAGGTTGTTGTCTTCAACAGCCGAAGAAAGACATTGAGACTTGAGTTTAACTATTAATTTTATAGCTGAAAATGTTTATAATTTCATGAAGACGTTATCAAATAATCAACAAAATTGGTAGTTTTCAAAATCACCGAGATGAGTTAAACGTTTATATTCTAGTAATTGTATGAAATAGGCTTTTGTTAGATTACAAACTACAAATGCATAATATGGGCGAAACAAAACCTACCTAAACGGGCGAAACGGTGTTAGAGAACAAAAATATCAATCTCACAAACAAAGGAGGAAAATATAAAAAGCAATAAGAACAATAAAAGGCCAAAAAACTCTCAAAACAAAGTCGTTATTGTTACAGAATTATATATATATTGCGTTCATGGCAATAGTCATTCTATGATACACTCAATTGGTGAACCCTGACAAAAGTTTGAATGCAATTTCCATACTTTGCATGTTTTATTCTGGATTTTCTTTCGTGTCGTCAACAGCTGGGATAACTTCCAGGTTCATCTTTTCGTTGTTAATTCCGTCATTGAAGGCAATAGGAACAACACTTTCCGGGTTGAAAACGTCAGAAGGGAAGTCAGGGTCATCGAGGTCAGAAATCATGCCATTTATGTTAGAGAGGTCGGGTTCGTTTGGGAAGATTGGGAGAGACGGATTAATAATACCGGGTACCAAATCATCCATCACATTTTCGTTGGATGAAAGGATCCCAGGCTTCATCATTGAGGGATCCAATATCTCGTCATCAGTTTGATTTTCATCTTCTGATGGTTTTGTAGCGTTGTTGGTTTCTGTTGGGATTTCAGAATCTAGATTCGATCCTTCGGTATCGATATCTTCCACATTTTCGTTTTCCTTGTCCAAAGTTTCAATTGGAATGTCGGGCTCAAGGTCAATTCCGATGTCAATTTCCTCACTGATTTGAATCTCGGGGAGCGGTGGGTCAATAATGATGACCTCATTGACAGGCATAGGGTAATCGAGAGGATTGCTGATGTCTAACAAAGGGTCAATCGGTTCTTTGTTGTCGTTGATAACGTTTGGTGCTACCGGCAACATGTCTTCATTCACAGTGACGTCATTTTTCTAAAAAATAATATGAAAATGAATAACTAAAACTAGTGAAGCAAAATAATTTTTGGTGAATTTATTTTTAAAACGGCATGCAGATATCAATGAATTATATCAAATATTTTGAAACAAATTATATTTTAATAACTACACATTAGTTTAACCCACTCTAAAAGTGACGGAAATATTTTCACAGAATCTAAAGTATTCAATTTAGAGATCTTACTTGTTTTTGCTGTTCAATCAATTCTTTAAGCTTGTAGTGTTCTCCCCAGCCCCAACTGCCAATTCCTCCCATTAGGAGCAAGCAAACGATCACCAGCAACCAAGGCACAGCAATGCAACAGACGTTCACTCCTCCTCTCTTACGAGATTTTCCACGCAGCATTGTTTCAGTTGAACCCTGTGTATATTAAGTTAAACATCTTTAAAATCCACTTTTTTTCAATGAAGTTAAAATTTTGGTACTTTATTACCACTTGTTCTGTCATTTATTAGGTATTAAGGTTGAGTGTATCATCAATATTATTAATAATTTAAAATGACCAATAATATAGAATATTTTATATATAGCAAGCGAACAAAAATGAGATATGTTGCGAAACGAAAATAAGACTCAAGAAATTATAAATTCCCAATATTTTTCATTAAAGAGGGCATTTTTACTCAATTACTTTCATCATGCGCCCCAAATATATAAACATTTTTCAAATTCGATTTGAGTTTTTCGAATGAGCATAGCTCAATTGAATAAATCATTCTTTGAAACCATACCGTTTCCCATTGTCCCTCTGGGTCCGATTCCGTCAAAGGAACCTTTCCGTCGTCTTTAACGTTTCCTGATACGTTGTAGACCATGCTGTTCAATCCGTTGGTGAAATTAATTATTTATTTTGCAAATGTACAGTATCGACTAAAATCAAAAAACACATAATAAGCATTTGATATAGATTTTAAGATATTTGAACATTTTTACAAAACGAAATTTATATCGATGTAAATGAACATCACTAGACGCATTGTATAGTTTTTGCTGAAGTGTTTATGAAGTGCTCAGAAATGTTATTGTAGGTTTATGTTACAGAACAGCATTTCACCTTTTCTGAAAAAATCTTTTCCAACAATCTTGTATTTGGATAATCTACTCTCTGTCTATCTTCGTACCTTTTTATCTATCTCATAATTGACACTTTGATTATTTTTTAAATCAGAGCATTTACATCAAAAAGGGTACAGAACTGTAAAGATTAACTTTCAAAACTCTGAATTAAAATAACATAGTCAACCACTATAGTTACAAGCCCGCACCTTTAATATTTCCTCTACATTTCGCAACATATAAATAATAATGATGGTCTAAACGTCAGACGTAAAATATGAAGCTTGCAGTTGACAAAAAATTTGACAACGTTATTTGCTATATTCATAAACTATATACGCATATTCGATTTAAAGGCGCAATTTTCCGGTTATTGATGCCAAACCGTTGTCAAATAGGGCTCGTGCTCATCTCAAATTGCGCAGAATTATTAATAATTGATGTTTTTTGGATGGCAGTGTAATGGCAAACCAGGTCAGAGTAATTTAATTCAACTTTCCAATATTGAACATCACACGGGAGGCGTTTTCAACAAAAATCAGGTAACAGGGTTTCAAGATGTCTAATATATTCATTCAATTCGTTTGTTACACCATACCAAAAGAAAGAAATACCACAAACCAATGAATAAATACATGCAAATACAAAAAAGTATTCTACGAATTGAACGTATTTGGTGAGATAAACATACAAATTTACGTTTATCAACATTTACAAAAACTTTTTAGATGTCGCTTACACGTCTTTTTACAGTCGGGCTTGCTCGGGCATGTGTAAGTTTGCCTCTTTTATAGTAAGTTTACTTCACCTTCATTACTGCTTTTAATTCGATATTGATTGAATTTAATCGAAATATATGACAGTCTTGTAGAACCATAAACGATTTTTCCGATGATGTCATGGTTGTTGGAATTATGTTAAAATTACAATATAAATATTGAAAGAAATTTTCAGTAAATCGAAACTCAAAATTTTTATCACAAACTAATAATAAACTAATATATTTCGTTTCGTTTCATAAAAATATGTTTATCTTACGATGGTAAGGTTGGGTAGTTGCCTATAATTTCTTCGAACATGGCGATGTAGGACTAGCATCATATTGACTTCCTAGACGAGAGCAAGTATACTCTTAAATCTTTCTCTAATACAACCTCATGGTGTCTTTCCTATACTGCAATCGCATGTACACACAAATCGTCAAACTACAGACTGATCAAATCGACCTGTATATGTGAATATATATTTAAGAGCCTTGTTTCGTCTACTTCCTCATACGTCAATGCATTGTGTGGTGAGACAACGTTTATGAATACTATTGTGAATAAGTTTCTAACGTTTAAACATGGCCCGCGCTTCGAGATACGCAATTTTTCATCCGTTCATCGATGGGTTTAAATATTGCTTGCAAAGCAAGCTTACCAACAAGGAAATGACGTGGGTGCTGTGTGCTATAGAATCATATCACATTAGATATTAGCAAAATTCAGTTTGTTACATGAATGAATTGGTAATCAAATAGAATCTAATTCTGAATCTGTGGTAATAGAATAATTTATTGAAAAAATAATAATTCATTGAAAAAAATATCGAATCTCATTTAGAAAATATGATTTTTGCTATTTGGAATGTATATTTAGCATTAGTGAACTATGCATTGTATTGTGGTTCCCGACTTGTGGATCATTTTCCACCTCCTCCTACTTTTTTAATAATCAATAGGAATTTATTTGTCGGAATATTATATGACTTATTATGGACTCAATAACCAAATGAATAGCAATCACAATCAATTTATAGCCTTGAAATTTTGCTCTGGTGTGGGCAGAGTTTCTCTCGCTGATTTATCGATCTAAGAATAAACTTTTTGTATAAGTCATGGTAAATTGATTGCGGTCTTTGCACGAAACATGTGGGATGCAAAATTTTTTTGCAATATTATTATATATAAAATAATATTTGTATTATTATAGCCTCAAATAACTAGAATTAATCAACAAGCCTTGGATTTTATCGATTTTAAAATACTGGTTCTTATGGGATTGTGGGGTCCGGACGAGAGATGAGTTTAAAAATATTTTTGCAATCTTGAGGTTTCAATTCCCTGTTTCAGCCAACCCGCAACGTTATTTCTGTCACATTGTTCTGGGAATTTTCAATAGTAAAAGAAATTTTAGATAGCATAAAAAGATGGTGAAGTGCATTGTGTAAGCAGACCTGAAAATTTGTTGAGTCATTATGAAACAGAACAAAAATAGACATTTTACTTTCAAGCGCTATACAGGTTTACCACACTATGCAAATACAATTGTGTTTTAAATTCATCCAGCTTGCAAGTATTTTAGCATGAATTCATATCAAAGCCACTAACGTCATCTGGTGAGAATGGAGGTCGGCTTCGTGAAACAAACGATTGACACCAAGACCACTGTTTCATTTTTGTGCAATAGGATTTTATTTTAAGAAATTTCCCGGAAATACCACGAAATACGTGAATTGAACTAACTAATATGCGATACATGTTACTCAGTATGCCACGAGTATCAGCAATTAAAAGAATATTTTTACATCGGATTTATTAGGATCACAACAATCGAGTTTCTTAGTTTGAAAGCATATATGTCCGTTTGAATTGTATTTTATATATTTCGAAATAATTTATCCATATTTTCTGCCGTCATCATCAAGCAGAATATTTCACCAAGAGTACAAATATGGTTGATTCAAAGATAACTAAGCATTAGTAAATGTCGCGCTACAAATATCATGTAACAATATCGAATAGCTATATGGGATTACTATTTCAGGAAATACGTCAATCGGCGTGGGTTGAAGGATATACCACAGGGAACCCTGATACACTTTGTACGGATATATTTGAATGTATAACGAGTGAAGAATTTTATTCGACAAAGTCCAATCAAATACAGTATATTATTTTATGACAGTGTGTCATATTTAATAAGTCACCTTAATCGATGAGCGGCTGTGTTGCATTTATTTTCATATTTTTGCGGGTTTACTAGCATTTCAAATAAAAAAAATTGATCTTCCCAAGTTTCGGCTATGGTGCAATTGTGTTTAGAAGGGAAATTTATAACTATGGACTCTTAACAATATTAGTGAACTGTTTCCTTTTGACTCATAACGCATCGGGAAGTATCAACTCGCAACTGGGGAAACCTGCACGTCAGTACAATTTATTTTAAAAGCCGAATTGCCTTTAATAACATTATTTCAATCATCTAAATTCAAACGGTAAGTTGAAATTTCCCCCAAAACTGAAATATTTGATTCTTTTCAAAGTGGAAATTCAAGTATTTATGCTTTGATATATTTCGTGACATGAAATATAAAGGTTGATGAAATGTATCAGAGAATAAATTTGGCAAGTATGGCATAGTATAGAAATAGAAATAGAACTTTCGTAGAATAATTTTAAAACCGAAATTGCATTTAATAGCAGATCTCGGTATATTTTTTATTGTTCTAACTTCGATTAGTAGGATAACAAAATACCACAAAAACTTATAGAGTGAAAATGGAATATTTATGGCAAATTTCGTGTCATAAAAATACGTGAAATGGTGTAATGTTTTGTAGAATAAATTTGGTGATTAAAGCAAGCTATAAAAAGTACGTTAAGTTTTCTATCTTATAAAAAGTCATTCCACACTCGATGTCTCAGTCATGGTGCAATAAATATATATTATGGTTAATTTTTTACCATTTTCAAAATTATTGTATAAGAATACCTTTACGATACAATTCACTATCTTGCCTGAAATTGCTTAAAATAAAATTATAAAAAATAATTGAACTTTTGTTACAGCTTAGTATTAATTTAAATTTGGTGTCAAGAGTAAGTATCACACCAATTCATTCTAATATGTAAATGTATATTTCAAATTAAATTTAATTAATCTATAATTATTAATATAGAAATTTTAAAATCCTTAAAATAATATACCTCTTTGCAAAATACAACGTGTCATTAGAAAAACTGTTTGGGGTATTTTCCGAATTGGTGAACAATTTTTTTTTTTATAAATTTACATAAGAATGACTCAAAATATATATAAAGGTCAAAGATAAATGAGGTCACGATCCGAAATAGTTACTTTGTCAACTATCTCATGACATGATAATATAAGTTTAGCATTCAACAGTCAAACCTGTCAAGATATATTGAGTCAATAGGGTTTTATTTAAAATAAATTTGAAAAAATACTAGTGATTAATGTAATGAATTGATACCGTTCATATATTGCGTTACTACACGTAATATATTACCCGATTTTTACACATCAAGCTGAATATCTTGGTTCGACTTGAAATTGACACGTATTTCATAATATATTCATACTTTATTTCTAAAATGGCTTTCGATATTTGATAATTCCGTTCGGATTTTAATCGACCAAAATCGGTCCATTTGTATATTATCTCCTGATAATTTATTTAGGCCGTCAGGAGACACTAAAACACAGACAGAGAAAAATAAAAAACGACATCTGGCGGTATAAGTTATATGGAATCAGGAAAATCAGTGTTTACACCGTTCTTGGTCATAATTGGTCTCGAAGTTTATATATGGATCGTTGGTTATTATTATGTTGTTGTTATTCTTGTTAGAATTATATTCTCGTTGTTACGCTTTCCTCATCAACTACTGGTCCAAATGCTTTGTAATTTTCAGTGATGAAGGTTGCATTTTTCGCTAGATGGCTATTTTTTTTATTTATTTCAAAATTTCCTGTGGGCCCTATGTGGTTCGTTTTTCACTTCGAAATGCTGTGTGATGACCTATTTAAAATTAATAATAAATATTTGTAGCGATTTTGCGACCTCTTTCGTGCTACGAGAAAGTTTTTTGACCATACCGTACAGAATACGAGGTACGGTAAGGTACCGTAAAAGGTACGATAGAATACTGCTTCTCTTTGTTTCCGTGTCCGTATTTTTGAGCATCAATATTTTTTTTTTCAATTGGAGAAGACATCACAAAAACTTTCCTGTTTGAGTTCTCTACTTACTAGCGCCGTATAGCAACGTGGGTATTTCTGCAATAGCTCCGACTTTATTCAAACAAATCGTAAATCAATAGAGGTTGGGTTTGGGATACTTTCACGCCCGTGTATCAAGTGTATAAATATCCCATAACAGGTATAGACCACAAGACTTCAATTTTTACGCATACGTCGTAATCGACAATCGTAATGTAATCTTGGGTAATCGAGAAAAAACGCTTTTAACAAAGTTTAGGGGGGTTTATGATATTAATTAACTTTATAGTTTCCGACATAAGAAAGCTATTTGGGTATTCCCGTAGTGTGTGTACCAGGTGACGGTTAGGGCATAATTTTATTACGATTTTCCTTATTTTAGTTATATTACGAGGAAATATTCGAGGTTATATTCGGGGAATGTCTTTGTTAGCGAGGTGAACCTGCCCAGGTGTTAGACAACCCCTTGCCCCTAGGTTTCAGTCCTTTTCCACAACTTGATGTTGAGTAGGCAAACAAAATTAGTTACCTCCATATTTGTACAAACACTTCTAGAGCGCCCACATTTGATGAATTTCAGCAACCAATATTTTTCACAAAAACTATACTCTGCTTCAAACGGAAGACTTATCCAGCGATTCCATGAATTTAAACGATTGAAACCTTGTTCCATAGCCGAAAATGTCAACCAGTTGATTCAAATAATTAATAGATTAATCGCTTCCGCATCCAGCTGTGACTACAAAATAAAAATAATATGCTCATACTAATAGGGATATGTAGGGTTAATCGACAATCCTAATGTAATCTTGGGTAAAGCCCAAAAGAAAATAGTTGTTTATGACAAAGTTGAGGTGACTATATGACATCAAATAATTTTATTGTTCCCGACTTAAAAACAAAATAAAGAAGATATATATTTGTTGAATTTTGGCACCTCATGTTTTTCATAAAAGCTACAATTGTGCTCCGCTTCAAACCATGGCGCTGCAGAGACTTCAAACAATTGAGACTCATCCAGTGATTTCACGACTTTAAGCGGTTGAAGACTTGTTCCATAGACGGAAATGTCAACTAGTTGATTTATATAATTGATTGATTGAATAATCGCTTTCGCATACAACTGTGACTGCAAAATAATATGCTCATACTCAGGGATATGTAGGGTTAATCGACAATCATAATGTAATCTTCTTGGGTATAGCCAGAGAGAAAATATTTATGGCCAAGTCGAGGTGAGTTTATGATATTAATTAATTTGATAGTTTCCAACAAAAGGAAGATATTTTTCGAATTTCGGCAAAAAATTCATAAAAACTATATAGTACTCATTCATATAATTAAAGACGTGCTTAGTGGTCTCTATGATTTCAAGCGATTGATTTTCATAGTGTAATTATAAAAGTATATTTGTATTCTGCTTCAATCTGAGACTCTGAAATTTTAAACAGTAATGACTTATCAAATGATTCCATGAATTTGAGCGGTTGAAGACTTGTTCCATAGACGGAAATGTCAACTAGTTGATTTATGTAATTGATTGATTGATCGCTTCCGCATCCAGCTTCCGTTAATATTCGTGAACCGTTACATTTAATATTTTACCGCACCATCTGGTATCGAATGGTCGCTTTGATTCTTTCACCACACCGTATCTTATGTAAATATCATTCCAACGATGAGTGTTTGAATTAAATGAGTGAACGATTAATAATGAAACATTGATTCTGATATTGATACTGTATCTTTACCCACGAAGAGGTAAAATGATTAATAATCTCTGTTCTTACATCAGCGACAAGAAAAAGACATTTTGAAAATTAGTGAAAAAATAGTGTTTGTATATCGTTTAAATGTATAATGAAATGAATAATCCTATTTTTTTTTCGTTGACCCAGATGGGAAATTCCAAATCGCATCTTTCGATTTATCTATTTGGCTTATTCAAATGTTTAAGGAAATTACTATCAATCAGTTGTTTACCTATTAATCTGAGCTATCGTTCACTGTAATCGCTAATGTTGTTGGTGGTTATGCTTACGCAGCTCATGTTTTCTTCATAATATAGATAGGATTATGCCGGAGAAGCATCCCGCGAATGGGTGAACTAATTATTCTATGTTCCTACATCTGCGACAAAAATGACATTTTAAAAATAAGTGAAAAAATAGTCTGTGTATATCGCCTAAATGTGTAGTGAAATGAATGCTTACTCATGGTAGTAGGTTACGCTACGTAGCGCTTGCTTTCTTCTTGTAATAGGCAGAATTATCCCAGGAAAAAAGCATGTTAGCCTAGCCCTAGACATTCAATATGAAATACGTGTGCATGTGTGATATTTATTGGGCGATATAATGATATAGTATTCTAATATTCTTGGGTAAATGAATATCAGAAGGAGAGCATTGACATTTTTTTAAACTTGATGGCGACAGCCTTAAAGAACAATAGTAAAAACCAAGGTCGTAGTTTTCAACAGGGGGGGTCTGAAATTTCTATTTGCGAAGTTAAATCGAAACAGTTAGCGGGGCCGGAAACGTGTGTTTTCATGAGTCTTGAGTCTAAAAAACGTTTCAAGATACGGAAAATTGGTAATCATATTAATGGGTTCCATTTATTTTGGGACACCCAGTTTCTTACTATTGTAAACAATTGCGTATCATACTGACGAGTAAACTTGTTTCTCCCTATTAAATTTACATGTTGTACTACTTTTAGAATTTCGTCAGATTTATATCAGCATCCAGCAGACCGTGAAATCCGTGGGATTTTGTGATAAACTATTTTGACGCATGAGTTCAAGTCGCTGCGATACGAGCCAGTAAGGCGAACCTTGCTTCGTGTATTGACGCTATCTATGAACCCTTGCTGAGCAAAGCAGTCAATAGAATTTTATTATGATTGAAGACATATAATTCTAATTTGATAAAATTTGGATACGTTTGTAACCAACATCAAATTTACCCAAGTACGGTCCGTATATCTCAATGAGGGCGTAAGAATAAGTAAGGTAATATAAACTATACCAGACTGACAATTGTAATGTTTCGCGATACCAGTACTATATAACTTATTGCGAATAAACAAATACCGAACCGCCTCATAATTACTCATCATTATTGACCCTTAATACTTCAGCGTCGTATTTAAAAAAAATAGCATTTTATCATTTGTAAATTCAATATCAAGTTTAGGTGACTCTATCTTATTCAAAATTGGATGTAGTAGCCACCAGAATCTGAATACAGTGGCTAACTCCATCAAAGTTTAACATAAACTTAATCAACTATTTTACCAGCCTTGAACCTTCTCCGTCGATCGAAAAAGTGGTGAAAAGTATGAAAAGAGCAAACAGATAGAAATTGCTGGATAAAAATATGAGTAGATGAACAATATCTGCGATTTTGCGTATATTTGCATATGTTTCTGATTGAAATCCTAGATGAGTTTTTTTGTTGTCTTTGCCTTGCCAACTTTCACCAACTTTTAACTATTTACTACAATCAACAAACCACCAGATTTTTCTAACTTCAAGTGTTTCGCTGTGTAATCTTCCAACATTTGACTATTGTTTATGAAAATTTCCATTTAGCAAAAATAAAGCAAAAAAAAATAAATACTCAAGTTATTAGAAGTGCGATGTGATGTATGCATACATATGATGCCTCCGTATGAATTACATTTTAGTCAGAATACTGTAATTGACAATTGTGATATTTTTCCATCCAGGCAGCCATGAATCGATACAACAAGATCCGTAGTTTTAGAAAAATGTTAGTATTCGCTTATTTAATGGGTTAAAATGGATAAAGTAATACATCTAACATTTAGAATCCAGAAATGTAATATTTCTAAAATATTCTCATGAAAATATTCTTAAAAATACAGCTTGCGTGCAAGCGATTTAAGCGTTTTGTACCCTAGTCATTGTGTTTGACAATTTCTTGGTACGTTAATTACAGTATTTAAGAACCGGACGTCTTAGTGAACGGTGATCGATTAAATGGATCAAAATATCACATTGTGTGTGAAATTTGTAACTTAATTGTAAATAGTGACCTACAGCTGCTGTGACGTAGAAGAAAATGTGGGTTGGTCAGTAATAAGGAATTCCAATTTGACGAATAATTTTATCAATTGCTCAAAATTGTCATATGAAGCCAATATGCGAATAATAATGAGTACGTATAATTTTCTTAAACTCATGAAAATAATTTCTTTGTTCCCTGGTCAATAAGAATCTTTTATTTGGCAAAAAGCCAACTTACTTATGATATTGTATTTTTACTATTTTTGAACTTGTAAGCCCTAATTATTAATACGAAAGTAGCTATTTTGACACTTTTAAAAAATTCGAAACATCCTTGTTAATAAACTGTATAACTTAACTGTATACTTCCAATTTATTTGGTTTTCTACAGCCCAATAACGCCGAGATACACAGAAGCTACATGTACGCTTTGCGCTTGTGATTTTGCTATTTTGTGAAATCAAAGAAAGCTTTTTGAGCTTTAGTTCATGAATGGCCAATTATGATCTATTATGATGTGTATACGAAGTATTATTAATTTAGCCGATGGAAGAATAGAAGGATTTCTAAGTCTTTGTCGAAGGCTTAAAAAGTTGATGAAGCGTGTACATGGAAATATATTTAGAGTCTCAGCTGGTTTGTTCGTCAGTTTATTGAGTAGTCGATGGTGGAATGTTCGTTTAAACTTCAAGTGTAGTAGTTTTACTCGACTTCAGTCAAATTCTTGATTTTCTACAGTATTATCAAATTGCTGCTATCGACAATGAAATACAGGGTGTCCATAAAGTACGATTACAGTTTCAATTTTGTTATGAAGTCAGTTCTAAATATATTTTAACCAAGTTATTTTTTATCAGTAATTGTTCAAATATGTTCACTTCATTCAATACATCTAGTAGGGCAAAAACAATATATGGTATCGATAAATTACATTTGTAATTTAAAAAATTTTAGAACGTCATGAACACCCTTTATATGAAAATGTAATAGTCTTGTATTTCATGTAATTGTAATATTTATATTCATTGATCAAGGTTAAAATATTGCATTTATATATATATATAAAGATTAACTATTGTTTTTTTAAACGTTTGTATAGAATAAGAAGCCTTCATGTTTACAAATTACTATATTCACTGACGAAAGAAAAATGCAGTTTACTCGCAGTACAGTCAGTCAGTCCCTCGTTCACTCCTCATCAATCACACTTAATTACGGCAATAGGGTGAATACCTTAGAAATGCGTCAATCTCAAGTTTGATTATACAGACTCCCCAATGCCAATGCCATTGAAAACAAAACGAGAATTTGTCGACTGACAATTTTTAAGAAAACCGTGTTTAAATCAACCTAATTCAAGCGAAACCCTACAGAAAGTAGACGCTCCCTCTTGTTATGTGACGTATTTGATTCAAAAATCGCTTTGACTGGATTATTATATATGCCTGGAGGAAATAGCATGTGTATTATATAGTCATAATCTGCCCATTCAACACATTTCGTTCGCCATTATTAATATCTTGAGTTATTAGGTTACAATGTTCGCATATAACGGTAGCCAAAAACATAGTAATGAGATACTTAGCCGCGAGCAAAACAATTTTAGGATATTTGTGGTTTGATAAAGATTATTAAAAAGTTCGATAATATTTTTCTGCCTAACAATTCACTTTCGTAACTTTTGAATACCGTATGGAAATTGAGAGGCAGTTCAATCAAACATGGCGGCTCTAGTATATATAATATTGTGAACATTTATTGAGCAATACAAAAGATTACTTTTGAATTCAGGTAACTTTTGTGTTTTTGTATACCAATAAAATAGGGTATTACATGAACTTTGGGGATCGAAATCCATTCAATAGCATCACAATGATGTACGATTGTGGTTGCTTTATGTTGTAAAAGCTATGGGCTCCAGTGTTTAAATAAATTTCGGATCAGAACGTTAAGCTCGGTATATATTGTGCAGTCGCTAAAGAGGCAGAGAGTATTTCATCAATCAGGTATAAGTTTTATGAATCGAATGTGTGATACGCGGTGAAAATTCGTGTTGATAGGTTCGTTTATTCTCATTGCCGATTATTATGGTTCACATAAAGCAAGCTGCAGGTTCATATTTAAAATATTTATCTGAATGAATATGAGTAAATCTATGGATAACCATAGAATGTATAGGTCTACTTGCTCGTGACATAAAGCATT